TCCGCCACACTGGCTTCAAGCTGGACTGGCTTCATGAGCCACTTTTCCTTCTTCACCCCACGACGTATCACTTCCACGCGGTGACACAGACACCTCTGTGGCCTGGCTCGAGGTTACCTGCACATGTCCTAACGTTTTAGCCGCCCCTGGAGATGGGGCGAGCATCTTGGTGCATTCCAGGTAGTGTCTCAGTCGGGGACAGGTGAGAATTTTTTAGGGCCGTAACAGACATTGTCCATGTGCCTTCCACAAAGGGGGAAGATTGACTCTCTCGCCAGAACAAACTCAGGGCTGTTGAGTCGATCCTCACTCACGGCGATCCTATAAGACAGGGTAGAACTGCCCTGTGCGTGTCCCAGACTCAACTCCTCAGAGGAGTAGAAAGCCTTGTCTTCTCCCTAGGTGGCTGCAAACTGCTGACCTTGCGGTTCACAGTCCCACATGTTACCGGCTAGGCCACCAGAGGCCCCTCCTCATCAACAGAAGCAAATGTTCAAAACAAAAGAAAAGCCCAAAACGATTGCCTTCGAGTCAATTCCGACTCACGGGGATCTGACAGGAAAGAGTCGAACTGTGGGTTTCCCAGAGAGTAACTCTTCACCGGAGGGGAAAGGCTCATCTTTCTCCCTCGGAGTCGCTGGTGGGTTTGAACCCTCAACCTTGGCCTTAGCAGCTCAACACGTAACTCACTACCCCACCAGCACTAGCATTCTAGAACTGCAGTTCCTGGACCTGCAAGGCCCTATCGCTTCCCCAGCTCCTGCAGCAGGCAGGATTCTGGGGCCCTCCCAGAGGACACGGTGACCAGCTCAGGAGCTAATGCCGACTGTGTCCTCGCTGCCTAGGCCTCCTGGACATGCTGCTGTGTCTCTGGCCCCTGGCCAGAGCTAAACACTCGTAAGCCGGCATGCTTCGTTCTGCTGTGACTCCTTCCACTGTGCTTGGGAGATGTTGTTGGTTGGTTGTCGGATTTTTTAAGCAACAGTGTGTGGGGCGAGTCTACGGGCGCATTGTCCCCACAGCATGGGCTCACTCTGTCTCCGGGTCCTCTGGGTCATTCTCACGATGCTGCCGACACACAGGCACAGCGCTGGAGACGCTCACTCATCCACACCAAGGAGCCTGGAAGGGCCCGTATTTGTGCCATTCTGAAGGAAGTGGAGCTGGCAGAACACGGACGTTATCAAGCAACACCACTCACACCACACGCCGGGGAAGTGTCGCTGGAGAGAACTGGGGTGGTTGCAGCCGTGCATGACGGGAGCTGCAAGACAGTCAGGCTGCGGAGTCAGAAGACGGCGGAATGAGGGATGTCATTCCTGACATCGGGGGATCTTGGCTCTCAGCAGAAAAGACCTGAAAGATGTTTACTGTGTTTTACTGACTGTGCAAAAGCATCCGACTGTGTGGACCATAAGCTATAAGCTATGGATAACTTTAGGGATTTTTTTTTCCTAATCATTTCATTGAGGGTTCATACAACTCATCACAATCCATACATACATTCAATTGTCAAGCACATTTGTTGCCATCATCATTCTCAAAACATCTGCTTTCTACTTGAGCCCTTGGTATCAGCTCCTCATTT